AAGTTGAGAGAGCTAGAGCTTTTCTCTTTAGAACGACGAAGGATGAGAGGTGACTTGATAGAGGTGTACAAAATGATCAGAGGTATAGATAGAGTAGACAGCCAGAGACTTTTTCCTAGGGTGGAGGTAGCTATTACGAGGGGGCATAATTTTAAAGTGAGTGGAAGTAGATATAGGGGAGACGTCAGAGGTACGTTCTTTACTCGGAGAGTGGTAGGGGCGTGGAATGCGTTGCTGGAGCGGGTCGTGGAGTCGGCCTCATTAGGGGCATTTAAGCGGCTATTAGATAGGCATATGGATGATAGTATATGGTAGGGGTGGAGGTTAGACAGACGTTAGGATTAGGGTAAAAGTTCGGCACAACATCGTGGGCCAAAGGGCCTGTACTGTGCTGTGCTGTACTGTTCTATGTTCTATTTATATATACATTACAAGCAACAGGGATCCAAGCACTGATTCCTGTAGAACATCGTTGGTCATAGATCTCTAGTCAGAAAAATACCCTTCCACTATTACTCTGTATCTTCTATGACCAAGCCAGTTCTGCGTCCATTTTGCAAGCTCAGCACAGATTCCATGTGACTTCACCTTCTGTATCAGCCTGCCATCTAGGACCTTGTGAAAGGCCTTGCTGAAGTCCATGTAGACAACATTCACCACCCTACCCTTATCAATCATCTTTGTCACTTTCTCAAAAAATTCAATCAAGCTTGTGAGACAAAAACTTCCCTTGCAGAAAGCCATACTGCCTATTACTGATAAGTCCACATTTTTCCAAATGTGAGTAAATCCTGTCCCTAATCATTTTTCTCCAGTAATTTTCCTACCATGTAAGGCTCGCCAATCTGTAATTTCCTGGTTTATCCCTGTAGCCCTTCTTAAACAATGGAACAACATTGTTGTAGTACTAAAACTTGTTGAGTGTGTTTTTCTACTGACAACCAAAATGTACACATAAATATAGCAAATCTGATGCTTTTAAGCATAGGTTGGATGAACAAAAGCAGGAAAAAGAACAGAAGGATCTGCAAATAGTGAATTAAAGTGGAATAGAGGTTTCCATGATGTATCAACCGTGTTACAGACTAGTTGGACTGAATGGTCTGTTTGTGGTCTGTGTAAATCAAAAATCAAAAAACACGATCAATACTCACTCATCTCAATCCACATGGACAAGGAGAACCATGACTTCGACTGGGACAACAGCAAGATCCTGGAACAGGCTAGGCAGAGACAAGCACGAGAATTCCTGGAAGCACGGCACTCCACGAAGCATGCTATTAATAAACACATTGAACTCGACCCCATATACATTCCACTACGGAGGAAACCCGGAAGTGAGGCAATCTATCACAACGGACCCCAGAGTTTAAAAACCAGGCAGGAAAACGCACCGACGCTTCATCAGAGGCTGCACTGAGGATGTTACCAAGCACGGTAACGAAACGTCTGCGGAACAACAAACCAGCTCGGTGAGCCAACCAACCTCAACACCCACAACCCGAGCTACAGATCTACTCCAAAACCTTAGAAATCAAAAATGCAATATGGCTTAGTTCAGTTCTTTGCGCGATACAATATTATTGTGGTACAGTGGCAGATCTTACATTATCTCATAAAGTGAAAGGAACATTTGAATTAGAAGCAGAAGTCGGCCCTTAGGCCTCTTCAGCCTGCTCCGCCATTCGATATATTTCGAGTTCCAAATTCTTACCTACTCCTGATAACCTTTGAATCCATTTCCAACAAAAGTCTATCTACCTCTGCCTTAAAAATATTCAGTGACCTTGTGTCCACTCCTTTTTGTCCTGAAAGGGCAATACCTAGGTATAAAACACTTACCCTAGTTCTAGACTCACCCACAAGAGGAAATATCCTTTCCATGTCCACCTTGTTAAAGCTGTTTTGGATCTTATACTCATCAACAAGGCGCCTATTCTAAACCTGAGTGAAAATATGCACAGTCTGTTTAGATTTTCCTCTTTGATGACCTGCCCTTTCCAGGTATCAAATGCGTAAACTTCCTCCGAACTACCTCCAAGTATTTACATCTTTCCTATTTAAGGAGACCAGAACTGTGCAAAGTTTTTGAGGTGTGATTGCAACTCAGTGGAGGAGAAGGAGGCTCTACAAATATCCCCATCCTCAAAGATGGGGACCCCAGTACATCAGTACAAAGGATAAGGCTGAAGCATTCTTCAGCCAGAAGTGCCAAGTGGATGATGCACCTTTGGCTGACTCTACAAGTCCCCAGCATCACAGATTCCACTTTCAGTCTTTTCTGTTCACTCCATATGAGATGAAGAAATGGCTGGGTGCATTTGATACTGTTTAGGCTGTGGGCTCTGACAACATTATGGTAATGGTACTGAAGACTGTGCTCCAGAACTAGCTACCCCTCTGGCCAAGCAGTTCCTGTATAGCTGCAATACCCAACAATGTGGAAGATTTCACAGCTATGTCCTGTACACAAAAAGCAGAACAAATCTAATCCAGCCCATTACTGCCCCAGTTGATCTGCTCTTGATAATCAGAAAAGTCATGCCCAGTTTGGGTTCTGCCAAGGCCACTCATCACCTGACTTCACTACAGCTTTGGTTCAATCATAGACAAGAGAGCTGAATTGCAGAAGTGAGGTCTGTGTGACTGCCCTTGACACCATTTGATTGAGTGAATCATAGACCCAAGCAAAACTGGACACAATTGGAATTGGGCTTGTTAGGTGGACTCCCCCTTGGTTGGAGCCATACCTTGCACAAAAGAAAATGGTTGCGGTTATTGGAGGTCAGTTATCTCAGTTCCAAGACAGATGACATAAATCCTGGAAGAATTAGCTATGAAGAGGATAGTGTAGAACTCCAGAAAGGCATAGGCAAGTTGGAGTGGGCAGCCAGGTGGCAGATAAGTTTTAATGCAGAGAGTGTGCAGTGATGCATTTTGAAAAGAAGAGCATTGAAAAACAATATAAAATATGAGCCACAATCTAAGATGGTGCTGGAGCAGATGCATATGTGCGCATATCATTGTCGGTGGCAGGCCAGGTAGAGAGAGCAGTAAGTCAAGCATAGAGTATCTTCAGATTTCATTAATAGTGGCATAGAGTACAAGAGCAATGAGGTGACATTGCACTAGTATAAGCAGTTATTAGACCTCACCTGGGATATTCTGTACAGTTGTTTGGCACTACAGCTACAAAAAGTTCACTCCCTCCACCCCCGACACTCAGTAGCATCACTTTCTACAAGATGCACTATGGAAATTCACCAGTGCTTCTTAGACAGCACTTTCTAAACTCATGACCACAGCCATCTAGAAGGATAACAGCCACAAATACATGGGGACAACACCACCTGCAAGTTTCCCTCCAAGCTACTCACTGTCCTAACTTGGAAATATGTTGCTGTTCTTTCAGTGTTGCTGGTTCAGAATCCTGGAACACTCTCCCTGCTGGCTTACTTTCACCTTCTTAACGGCAACTGGGACGATAAATACTGGTCCAGCTAGATAGGATGCCCAGATTCCATGAATGAGTAAATAAACAAAATAAAATTACTTCAATACGTCTTGTCAATTTATTTACTTTGTACCTGAATGCAGTAGCATTCACACATCGCCTTCAGTTTTGTCTTTTTGTTATCTTTGTAATATCTATGGCTGGTGTATTCTTGATTTCGTTTGGTTTATTGTCATGTGTACCTAAGTACAGTGAAAAGCTTTGTTTTATGAGCAGTACAGGCAGATCATAGGGTGAAAAAAAAACTTACAGCCATACAGGTTACGTCACATAGGGCATGTGCTAGGCAAGATCAGCATTATTTGAAGTTAGAGTCCATTAACCAGTCTAATTACAGCCAGGAAGAAGCTGTTCCTGAACCTGCTGGTGCACATATTCAAGCTTTTGTATCTACTGCCTAACAGAAGAGGTTGCTGGAGAGCATAACCAGGGTGCGATAAGTCTTTGATGATGTTCGCAGTACTTCCTGGGGCAACAAGCCATGTAAATGGTTGAAAGGTTGGCTTCCATTATGGCCTGGCCTATGCACATAACCTTCTGTAGTTTCTTGTGGTTCTGGGCAGAGTAATTGCCATAACAGGCCGTTATGTACCCGGACAGTATGCTTTCAATGGTGCATCTGTAAAAGTTGGTGAGGTTCCGTATGGACATGCCAAATTTCCTGAGCCACCTGAGGAAGGAGAGGCATTCTTGTGCCTTCTTGACCATTTCATTCAGGACAGGTTCTCGGCTATTGTCACTCCTAGGAACTTGATGCTCTCCACCCTCTCAACCTCAGCTCCATTGATGTAGATGCGTGCGTGTTCTTCTCCTTTCTTTCTGAGGTCAATGATCAGTTCTTCTGTCCTTTCCTGCCATTCATTGACCATCATTTCCCATATTACCATGTGCTATCATGCCTTGACTCTAACCCTTGATCTGCTACATTTATTCAAGCTTGATTCCTCATCAACCTTGCATAGTTTAAAACCCTCTCTACTTTCCTAGTTATGTGAATTACCTTTCTTTTGAATTTTTAAAAGTTTTATGTAAGTGTGCTTTCAACTGACAAGCTTCATTGATATTTTTTATCCTGTACAAAATTAATGTTTTCATGTTCTACTACATCAGCTGTTTTACTTGGTCAAGCCTTTCTTCTGAAAGATACAAAGATTTCAATAACGTTTTTATTACTAGAATACTGTCTTCACATGCTTCAGGTCTGGATTGTCCCAATAATACTTCTCACTCTTTACCCAGTACTCTACTAGTGCCCCATGACCTAAAACCCATTTCTTTGCCAACTTTGAGCCACACATTTATTTTTCTAATCTTTGCCAGTGGTGCCAGAGATCATTACCTTTGAGGAACAAAAACAAAGTTGCTGGAAAAGCTCAGCAGGTCTGGCAGCATCTGTGAAGGAAAAAACAGAGTTGAAGTTTCGGGAATGGTGACCCTTCCTTTGAGGTAACGATAAGTAACGATGCCCCTGCTTGATGTTCCACAGTGTGTGCAGCTCAGCCTCCAGTCCACTGAATCTGACCTGAGGTTCCTGTAGCTACAGACTCTCACAGTGGCTGTTTTTGCCTTGGATCACTACTGGCTTCCAGAAGCTCCAGCATCCTGCAGTTACAGCACATTACCTGACTTGACATCTTTATTGTGTGGTAAATTAATTTAAACTTAATAAAAGCTACACCTCCCAGTTAGATATGTACCACAGTAAACACCACCAATACTAATTAAGAGCTTACTGTTACTAATAGTTGAGAGTAGTTTAGGGCTTTACAAAAATACTTTTTCAAAATCGGAAATATACACTCAGCCCATGATTTTATGATGTCGCTGTTTGATTTCCCCTCCTCTTCTCCCTGACCACTACCACCCCCATGAAAAATCTTGAACCTGTAGCTGTTAAACACTGCCTCCTCTCTTGTAGCTAAATCAACAGCGCAAGATGGTAGATGCAATGTCAAAGTAAGTATAAGGATCAAGAAAGCCGCATAAAATTTTGTGATGTAGAATGTATCAATGAGAAAGCTCAAGCTTATAAGAAAAAAAACTCAACTTCATCAGGATGCTGTCTGGGATGGAAAATTGATGAGGAAAGTTTTTGGATAGCTCTGGATTGTTTTCATTGGAGCATAGAAGACTGAAGGGTCATCTGATTGAGGTGTATAAGATCATGAAAAACGTGGACAGAGCAGATAAGAAGCAGCTGTTCCCTTAGATGAAGGGTCAGTCATGAGGGGACACAAGTTCAAAGTGAGGGGCAGGAGGTTTAGCAGGAACGTGAGGAAAAGCTTTTTTATCCATAGGATGGTAAGGGTCTAGAATGTGTTTTCCAGGAGGTCAGTAAAGACAAAGACAAAACACCTTTTAAAAGTACCTAGATGAGCACTTGGCACATCCTAACATTCATCACATCATTATGATGATATGGCACATCATAACATTCAAGGCTATAAACCAAGTGCTGGCAAATGAAATTAGGTTAGAAGGCCAGGTGTTTCTCACGTCACACAAAGGCCTCTTCTGCACTGTGTGATTCTATGCTACATTCTATCCACTTTCCTGTATGCCTCAGAAATCTGGACAATAAATAAAGAGCTGTAAAAGAAGTTATTTGAAACGTGGATGCTAAAACATGAGCTTGATTTTAATAAAAAAACCATAAGATAAATGAAGAGGTGTTGGAAATTGCAAGAATGTAAGACAAACTCTTAAGAAGTGATATCCACAAAAGAAGATGTCATTATTTCAGCCATCTGATCAGAGCTGAAGGTGGGTGGTGGATGTCACAAAATTGTTGCACTTGTGATTTGCCATATCTAAATTAATTTAGATAATTAATCTGTTAAACCATTTTAATATGGTAGTGCTGTAGTGACTCTTCATAGGAGTTTTTAACGATGTCCAATGTTTTGCAGTTGACAGTGCTGTGAAGTAGGAGATTGTTTTAGAAAATAAAAATGCCAGCAGGGGTGTCGTGGCCTCGTTATCTGAAGACGTTGGGGTCAAGCCTTCTTGCGATGTTTGCAGGAGCAGAGGTAGTACACAGGTACTACAGACCAGATTTGGTGAGTGAGAAATTGTTCATTTTGTTTTCTAATAAATTTGCTGCTTCAGTCCTCAATCTTTTTTATATTCATTCATGAGTTAACTATTGTTGGCGAGGCTAGTATTTATTGCCTATCTCTACCACCTTCTCAAAGGTAATTAATGAACTGCCTTCTTGAATTGACACAGTTCATGTGGTATAGATTCTCTCCCAATGGACACTGTCATTGCCTGGCAGGTATGTGGTGTGAATTTTGTCACAGGCCATTTATCACTCCAAACCTGAATGTTGTCTAGGTCTTTCTGCATAAGGACAGACTGCTTGGGTATCTGTCAAGCTTCAAGTGGTCCAATCATCAGCCAATATTCCTAGTTCTGACTTTGTCATGCATTTTTGTTCATTAATGAAGCAGTTGAAAATGGTTGGACCAAGGATACAATACTCTCTGAACCAGGAGGCCTGGGTTCAAGTCCCATCTGCTGTAGAGAGGTAATAAAATCTCTGTGAACAGGTAGATTACAATTTTTTTCTATCCTGAGGAACTTGAGGGCTTTTGTGAGGCAATGGTAGTGTCCCTACCTCTGGGCCATAAGTTGCAATTCAAGTCCCACCTGCTCCAGATGTGTCATAATCAGCAAGTCTTCTAATTCTCAAAATGGCTGCATAGGCCGCAAAGGCTTGTGCACAGCAGTAATGAGAAGTCAAGTTGTGATGGGTGTGTTGATGCTGATCACTATACGGAACATAGCAGTAGCTGTTCAAAAATTAAGGTTAGAGGGAACATTGGTCTGAATGCGTTGATTGAAATAACCGTTGAGGTCTCCTGTGGTGCTGCAGTAGTGTCCTCACCTCTGGGCTAGGATTCAATTTCCACCTGTTTATAGGTGTGTAATAGTATCTGCAAACAGGTTGATTGTAAAATATCTATCCTAAGGAACTCTGCAACAATGTCCCTAGATATTCTCTCACTTGGAAGGGATTGGTGAACAATTTGACTTTACCTACAATGAAATCACTCTTTACTCTCTACTAACATGCCCTTAAATCACTCATACACTAATAAAAATATTTAAGTTGATGACTACACAGAGTAATTTAAAAGAGCTGACATATGCATGGAAGCCTTTTGGCTCGCAATGCAGATTTGAGGGAACATTATTCTTCAACATAGCAGCGATACGCAAGAGTTAAGAAGCCCTTCCATAGCACAGAAGAGCCATTTGTGCAGCATGCGTGTCAGTTAAGAGTGATGATAATACTAAATGACAGCACGTACTCTGGAATGAAATTTTCTTCCTTCCCATATTGTAAAGTTAAATAACCACAAATGTTAACAGGTATGATTTAGTTTGCTGCACTCTTAACATAGTCACATTAGAAGTTCTAGCATGCATTTGATCCACCCTATAGTTTGGAAAATGAGTCTGTGACATTTAAAAAAAATACACAAATGCTTAAGTTAAGATTTTTAGGGTGTAGCATTAACACTGACAATTATTATACTTGTCTAGATAACATCATTAACAAACAATTGCTGGAAAAGCTCCTCATTTTTGTATTTGACTAAGTGTAGTTACATATGAATTAAGTTAAACCTTCAAGTCTATTTGTAACTTGACTTTGCTAGAGTAACCCCTAATTCCCCAAGATGTGCAGCAGTTGCAAAGCAGTTGAAGCAATGATCTGTATTTTTGGTGCATATTATAGGGGTTCCAATAATTACATGCAAATAAAATTCAGTAGTTTAAAAAATTAAGGAACGTTCCAAATAGAAATTCTGCAATGGTGTTGCACACCAGGAATAAGTGTGTATTTAAATACTGTACTTTTGTGGTAACGTGCCCCATTTCCAAGCAATGGGATAACTGTGTTGGTTTGTGCAAATATGCATTACATTTGGAAAAGAAAGAGGGATGGTGTTAGGACAATATTTAAGATATGAAGTGTAGTTTAAACCTAGTGTTGTTTTCAGAACATCTGCTACAGGGAATGTTATTAATAGCTAGTACTTTGCCAAATAGCTAAACACCATACAATATGGTCAGTACTATTACAACTAATTTCATTTAAACTTTGTTTTCTTTAGAGTATACCAGAAATTCCACCTAAACCAGGCGAGCTTAAAACAGAACTACTGGGTCTGAAAAGTCAAGTACAAACTCACAATTCTGAACAACATTAAAAAGAAAGTGGAAAAAATTCAAAGTTCTTAAGTTATGGGCAGCTTATAATGCATTTAAAAATTCCACTCAAGTGTTGTTTGCTTGTATAAGTGTGTACAATTCTTTCACCCATGTGTGACCAAATGTATTTAAAGGTAAGCTGTTGGCCCACTTTACAGAAAATGGTGGTCTGCTGGTATATCTAGCCACGATTAGTGAATTCTTCAGACCTTACAGCGGATTGAGAAACTGCAGGGTTGTTTTTGTCTTTATCTTGCAATGTAAATATTCTTAAAGTTAAAAAAGAACATTTTCCATTTCATTGTTAATTGAGTGTGGCTTGTGGGTTTCCAAGTTAAAACATTTTGCCAAGTACTTCACCGTTTGTAAGTTACAAATAAGATGAAGTGAACTTGAGAATATCTGTTCATTTCATATTCAAACAAGTTCCTGTTTGTAGTTGTATGCTGGATTATTAGCACCTGCTGGACATGTTTCATGGGCTCTCAACCATGTTGAGTATTCACAGAACTGCCAGTCAGCTATTTCATTCAAGGCTGAGAACATATTTGGTCAATGCAATTTCCTATTACTACTGACTAGTTTCAATTCAGCTTAGACAGTAAACAAAATCTTGACTTGACACAAGTCAACCTAATGATTAAGCTATAAAAATGTTACCTGAGGGTTTTGCAAGTTTTCTTGCGAAAGCACATTTTACAGGGCAGCTGAACAATTGAAAATACTTGAGGGGGTAAAATTTAAACAAGGTATGACTTAAGCTGAGTGCCTAGTTATTTCTGGACGAACTGACACCTTACTATATTGATTTTAGACAGTAGAATGGAGTGCTAAGACTGCAATCCTATAGAAAAGGATCCTGCAGGCCAAACTGCTCTATTTTGGAACATTTTGCATGCCAGCAATTTATTTTAAGTGGGTTTCATTGAATGAACAATATTAAAAAACCTTGAACAAAGTTTTTGGAAAAGTTTTATGGTTTACATGACAAGTTTCACAAAGTCATTTTAAATATTACAAATTTACAGTCATTTCACTTGAAGGAATGCAAGTAACATACAAAACTTTCGCCCTCCCAGACCTTTAATAGGGATAGTGAATGGTTTGTTCATCCTGTTCAAATGGTCTCATTTCAGTATATTACACCTTCCCAGTGTAAATTGCAGTCTTCAAATTCCTTACAATTCATCTTTTACATCTGTGGATTCCTGGAAATGGGAAGAAACATGTAACTGAAGTATTGCAAGTGGTCTTTGCATTATTGTACACATGTAAAAAGTCACCAAAATCCCAACATATCCTAGGGCTGCTCTCATATAAAGCCAGCCATCCAGCTAATTGAACCAATCCCAGAAGTGGTGGGGGAAAAGAAAGGAGCACTACTTCAACACAACTGATGAGGAATTTAGCTGAGGGTTAAACTAGGCAAGGAGCACGGTTGAGAAGGCAGGACTTTAACTGTTAACCTCAGCTGGTCTGGAACTGAACCCAAACTCGGTGTCATTTTGTAACTCAAAGCAGTAGCCTCTAGATTTAATTGAAAGCCTACCTCAGTCTGTTTTTCCTCTGTTTCATCATCATCATCATCTGCAATATCTTCTTTCTCCTCTTGTTCTTCAGCCTCTTCAGATATCTCTTCATACTCTTCAACCTTAACAGGAATAATTCAGTGATTAGAATACAATTCTAATCAAGTCAAATCATTTCACTCCCACAATGCTGTCAAATGTTAGGTCTTGCCATCCTTAAAAAGAAAACCAACCAAATGAAGGTTTTGTTAAACACAAGTTTAACCAACACAACTGTATACCTGTTCATTGAGATCTACATTCATGCTTAAGCGAAGCATTCTTTCAATTCTATCGCCATAGGCCTTGGTGTCTGGTAATTGGTAACCAGAGCGTAACGTGGCAGTCTCAAATAATACCATAGCAAGGTCAGTGGCAGTCTGATCCTCCTCATTTTCCTGAAGGAAATATAAAGTTTTACATTAGAACAAAGCCTCAGTAGATTTTGCAAAATAGAAAAGTAGATTTCCTTCCTTTCAAGGAAGGCTTTAATCCACCACAATGCTGTGCTAACCCAGAAATGCAATGTTGCATATGCAGTGTGCAATATTGAGACTTAAACCACTTCTGCCTCACTAGTGCCCAGTACCAACCGTAAAATGGTACTTTGGTAAGACACTGGTTTAAAATGTTTGCACTGTTACAATGGCTTTTCTGTGATAGAAAATAATTGCTTAACTGGTCTGAAAAAAGTGGCCACAACAAAACCCAAATCTTACACAAACCAAATTGGCATGGTACAGCCCATTTAATTCTGAACATTTGTGGCAATTATACAATCCTAGAGTTGTTTTTCCAAATAACCTTACCTTAACTCGTTTCAGCATCTCCTTTATCAAAGGATGTCTTGGATTAACTTCAAATGTCTTCTTTTGACTAGAATAATAACTGAAAGAAAGAGTTCACAAACTCATTAGTACTAAAAAGATACTGATCAAATCTTAGTCATTCCACTTAGTACTAACAAAAGCTGTAAAGATAGCCCACTCCGTTTTACAAGGGCTCGTATGAAAAATTTCAAGTGCATAACATGCATTGTCTCGCATTAGTATTAACATTTTTAAAATTGCTGCTTGTTCCTTAACAAAGTGTCCTGCATCAAACTGCAAGCCAAATTTAGGTTTAGAGGATATTCTGACCCAATACCAAATGTAGTATGTTACTGTTTAAGACTATTAAAAACTTACTTTGTTGAAATATCTTTTCCAGTCTGGTAGGCTTGTGCCTTCATTATTCTTTCCATGTTACCAGACCACCCATACTGGCTGGCCACAAGTGCACTAGGAGAATCTGTTAGACGCTGGGACAGTACAGCCTTCTCAATCTTTTTAAAAAAAATAAAAAAGCATTTAGAATTCCCTTCAGCTCCTAAGAGGCTATGCATTTTTTCTGTAAGGACACTAAGTTTATTAAAATTCCCAACTGTGTTTTGACTGATTGTCACTATTTGGTGCCCTCTGCCTTAAATCCTGCCTTCACTTTAGGTATTTAAAAACACCCTGTTCTTTAGAAAATTGTGGGAATAGTCTTTTCCTGCTAGGATTCCACAACTTAAGCACCGACTTACTAGGTTTACCTATAACAGCACTTAAAATGGCACATGGTACACTGCATTAACAACTGACTAAGAATGAATGAATCATTCTACAATTGATACAAAAAAAGTTGACAATTCAAAAGTTTTGTTTTTGCTGCTGCAAAAAGTGAAACATCCTTACACACATGTAAAAAACTTGAATGATCTTACTACCTTAATGTATCTTGTGGTCACATACCTTATCTTTTAGTGCTTTGTCCTTTAGCCAGGTTAAGAGTGGCTCATACTCCTTCTCCATTGCCTCATGTTTCTCTTTAGCCTTTTCACTTTCATCAAATTTCAGCCCTTCTTTTGCAACATTCTGGAATCTCTTTCCATCAAATTCAGGCAAAGCTTGGATACAGTATTCATCAACAGGTTCTGTCAGATACAGAACCTCATAACCCTTCTTCAGTAGTCGTTCAACAAAAGGAGAAGATTCAACCTGTTAAAAAACAAGAAATTGTTTGTTTATATTGTACAGTTTGATTCAAGACTCCCATTTTGTACAGCAATGCAAAGTGCTATAGTATTATGCACTTGGCAAATATTACTCTGCAGTGCACCTACTGCTCATTTACAAATTTCTCAGTATTAGCAATCACACCTCTTTTCTGCTTGATCCAGCCATGAAGTAGATCTTGTCTTGCTTCTCCTTCATCCTTTCCAAGTACTGCTCCAAACTGGTCCGTTTAGTTTCATGGTTAGAGGACTGGAAACGTAGTAATTTGGCCAAACGTGTTCTATTTGAGTGATCCTCAATTACACCCAGCTTAATATTAGTTCCAAATTCCTTCCAGAATTCATCTTCATACTTCTCTTCTGCAATCTTCTTGATCATATCTAGCGTTTTGCGTACAAGCTTCTTTCTAATGACCTAGAGAAAGAAATTGTCACATGTATTAGAAAATCAGCTATTGAAAAGAATACTACAAAGCAAAACATTCTCACCACCTTCCAAACAGTGATGGGTGGGGCTTTAAAGCCTCAAATCATACTTAAAGCTAAAATTAGGTTAGAGACCTTCATCCTGAAGGGTTATATTCCTCCTTTTAATAATTTATTACATTTGAAGCACAAGAGGCATCGTAAGGAAAAAAGTCACTAGAGTCCCAGAGGGCTGCTCTAAGATAGAACATGTGACTGGTTTAACCCAAGGGTCACCATACCTCAGGTGACAGCAGGGATGCTAATCAGGAGCACTTCAGCTTTAAAAATCAAGGTAACGAACACACTACCTTCAACAATTTGTGCTGTTGCAAAGTCTCACGTGACACATTCAGAGGTAGATCATCAGAATCCACCTGTGGGGAAGAGAGCAGATCAAGTGCTAAAATAAATAACTTTCATAAAAGTGAAAAGAGCAGTTAGAAAGGATTAGACTACATTTGAACAAAAGTATTCTGAAAAATTCCATATAGTAATTCAAAATGTGCCTCATGCACACAAACTACAGGTTTCATACTGCCAGAAATGTTTCAAGTATTTAGATTTAACAGGTTTGCCTGTTCCAAGTTTGGAAATTCACTTTGGACATTGATATACAGTGACATGATTGCATGGTGGTGATCAGCACTGAAGTCAATATTAGGAGGTAGTCACTATTTGAAGACTAGACAAAAAAAAGGAAGTGGGATACTATTGTTTATGGTATCAGTCCAGCAATGATATAGGTGCAACAGATCATATTGTGCAATTTATTTGCTGGAAATAAAGAATAGGAAGGGAAGGCAGTCATAGGTGCAAGTTGTCTATAGATCTTCATAATTGTCATAGTGACTTTAATGTGCATATTGACGAGACAGTTGATGGTCAAGGGCAGTATGAAAGAAAAAATTTGTACAGCATGTCATGGATGTTACTTTTAAAACAAAAAAAAACAAAAAAAACAGCATGTTGGGCAGGTTTTGCAACAAGTTAAGGATTCTCTTTAGGTAGCAACCACATGGTAGAATTTCAAATTTTGAGGAAGAACAACCTGGGTGTCAAACCAATGTCCTCAACCTATATGTCTATTAGAGGCATGAAGAAATTTGTTTAAAAGCAGGCTGGAAAGATAGACCAAGGAAAAAAGGTTTGTGGCAAATATTTCAATGCTCAACAAAAATTCATTCCAGTCTAAAAAGACTGGACAAGGAAAGCCATTGGTAGATAGCAGGGGTGGTCAAAGAGTGAAACAAAAAAAGCACAGAAGTAGCAAACAACGGTGTCACGATTTGGAATCTCTTCTAGAGAAACATCAAAAGCTAATGAGGGGAAGTTGCTTAAGTATACTGTCAAGAACAACTAAACTGCAACAGCTTTTACAGACAAATAGGAAGAGTAGTCAAGGACTAATGAGAAACCTTTGGAGGGTACAACAATGGAATTGATTAATTGGGAATAGGGAAATCACATAATTTAAGCCAGTATTTTGTATCAGCTTTCATGGTGTGAACATCACAAATGAGATAAAGATTATGTATTTGACAGAAAAAAAAAGGGAGCTGAAGGCAGATGGATGAAGATCTGATGGCCTGCATCCAAGGGTTTTAAAAGGAAGTGGTTGCAGAGATACCACAGTTAGTCTAAATTAGACCTTACTGTACCACTATGATACCCCTGCTCAAGGAGGTGGGGAGAGAGACAAAAGCAGGAAACTATAGGCCAGTTGGTCTAACAACTGTTGTTGGAAAAATAGTATAAACCTGCTAAGAAATAGTTTAACAAGAGGAAATTCTTGTTTTAACTGAGTTAAAGTGAGGCCACACCAAGTACAGTGTACAGTCTTTGGTCACTTATTCAAAAATATACTGACATTGGAGGCAGTTCAAAAAATTCAATACTGCTATCTCCTGGGATAATAATAGGTCAACTTAATGGTTGAACAAGCTGAGCCTTTATTCATGGAGTTAAAAGCCAAGTGGTGAATCTCACTGAAAAGAAAGTTTGTGGGGGCTTGACCTGGTAGATGTTTCCATTAGTGGGGAAATCTCAATCTAGGAGGAAGTTACAGAATAAAAAAAAAAAGACAACATTCATTTAGAACTGGGATGCAAAGGAACTTCTGCCAGAAAATACAAGATTATCTGGAGTTCTCTCAAAGATTTGCATTGCGGAAGTTAGATCACTGAAATTTAAAAGGTAGATATTTTTGAAAATACAAGTTGAGACCTTTGATAAGCTGACAAAAAAAGGATCTATGGCTTTGGACAGATCAGTCATGATGATTTCACAGTATGGTGGGGTAGGCTGAAGGGGTTAGATGTCTTACCCCTGCATCTGTTACTCATGTTCCCATGTCATGTGCATTGAAATCAATTCAACATTCAGTTACCGAACAGCAATTTCATTTGTTTGGTCTTAGCAGGCAGTGGAGTACAGTTAATGCTCTAACCATGACCGTATCTGTGAGACACATCATTTAGAACTACTTACTACACCCTTGATGAAATTCAAATACTTTGGCATCATGTCATGGAAGTCATCTGTGATAAACACTCTACGAACAAATAACTGCAAGAAGACATTAGATTGAGAGTGAAAACTAGATTAAAACGCAAGTAACAATATACTATCATCATTTTTATGCACAAAATTGTTAACACTTAAACCACATGTATTGAGAATTTGCTATAGCAATTCAAGTCTAACTTTATTAGAGAAGTAGCATACCTTAATGTAGTCAGATTTCTTTGATCCGTATTCATCAAATAAACCACGGGGTGCAGTTTTAGGCACAAACAAGATAGACTTGAATGTGACTTCTCCTTCAGCAGTGAAGTGGATATGAGCTATTGGTTCCTCAGAATCCTGAAAAGAAAGGATTTCATAAAGCTAAATTCATTAGGAGTCACTTAGCATATTTCAAAATCACTTCTAGAAATTAATTGTTTCATATTCTCACTGCAGCCTGATCACATGCAGGAGGAACAGCACCAAACATTAAGTTTAAAATGCAGTATGGCCCTTCACAAATGAGTAGGATACTACCCAATTGGTCATTCTGGACCTGGTTACCAGAATAATTGTTTTAAAACCACTTAACAGGCTGTACAATGTTTGTTAACAAAAACAGGAATTCAGATTCTAGGAGGAAGAGTGTTACCTTTGAGAAGGTTTTGTAAAAAGCTGTATATTCTTCATCTTCTATTTCTTTAGTTGGTCTTTGCCAGATTGGTTTGATGTCATTCATCAGCTCCCAATCCCAGACTGTTTTCTCAACCTGCATAAAATCAAGAATTAAGTCAGTCCTGGAATATAGGAACACAAGACCTAGTATTCTGAACCCATATGCCTTAACAGCCTTTCAATTTATGTCTGAGCTCTAACTATTGACATGCTTTGATTCTATAGTTCTCATTATCATGACTTTCAAAAATGATTATTTGATTCAATTTCAGCTTTCAGGATAGACAAGACATTGCTGATCTGTGCAATAGTCCTTTAACATCTCTATAGCCTTACCTAGCAGCATAGTTTAAAAAAGCTGGCCACTTGCTTTGGCGTCTCTTACCGCTAAGAGTGTCTCTTGAACGAAGTTACCCATTATCTTGACTGCCCAAATTAAAAGTGATCTGGCTATTGAGGTTGCTAACTTGCTTGCCAAGCTGGCTTGTTTTTGTTCAGACATTCCATCATCATGCAAGGTAACATCAGTGAGGCGTCCGATGTTGTTCTACTCTGCTTGGAATTTTTACCAACCGGTCCATTATGGCAAGTAGTGTCATTTCTGGTTTTGTTCTGTATGGGTTTGTATTGGAGGCCAATCTTTTTTTGGATTAGTTTGTGGGATGTGGGCTTCACTAGCTGGCCACCATTTCTTACCCACCCCTAGTTGCCCTTGATAAAGGTGGTAGTGAGCTGCCTTCTTGAACCACTGCAGTCCACCTGCTGTGGGTTGATCCACAATGCTATTCAGCAGGGAATTCCAGGATTTCAACCCAGCGATAGTGAAGGAATGGCAATATATGTTTCCAAGTCAGGATGGTGAGTGACTTGGGAGGGGAATTTCCAGGTGGTGGCATTCCCATGTCTGCTGCCCTTTTCTTTCTAGATGGAAGTGGTCGTGGGTTTAGAAGGTACTGCCTGAGGATCTCTGGTGAACTTCTGCAGTGCATCTTGTAGATAGTACACACCATTGTCAGTGGTGGAGGGAGTGGATGCAGTGCCAATCAAGCAGACTGCTTTGTCCTGGATGGTGCGAAGGTTCAAGAGCTGTTGGAGCTGCGCTCATCCAGGCAAGTGGGGAGTGTTCCATTTCACTCCTGACTTGTGCCTTGTAGATGGTGGCCAGGCTTCGACGAGTCAGGAGGACAGTTATTTGCCACAGTATTCCTAGCTTCTGACCTGCCCTTGTAGCCACTGTTTATGTGGTGAACCCAGTTGAGTTTCTGGTCAATGATAACCCCTAGGATGTTGATAGTGGGGATTCGGTGATGGTAACACCATTGAATGTCAAGGGGTGGTGGTTAGATTGTCTCTTATTGGTGATGGTCATAACCTGGCATTTGAGTGGTGTGAATGTCACTTGCCACTTGTCAGCCCAAGCCTGGATATTGTCCAGATCTTGTTGCATTTGAACATGGACTGCTTCAGTATCTTAAGAGTCACAAGTGGTACTAAACATTGTGTCATCAACAAACATCCCCACTTCTGACCTTATGATGGAGGGAAGGTCATTGATGAAACAGCTTGAGATGGTTGGGTCAAGGACACCACCTTGATCTCCTGGAGCTGAGATGATTGACCTCCAACAACCATAACCATCTTCCTATGTGTCAGGTATGACTCCAACCACCGGAGAGTTCGTTCCCCAATACCCATAGATTCCAGTTTTGCTAGGGTTCCTTGATGGCACAGTCAAATGCAGTCTTGAGATCAAGGGCTGTCACTCTTACTGCCCCCTCTGGAATTCAGCTCTTTTGTCCATGTTTGAACCAAGGCTGCAATGAGGTCAGGAGCTGGAGTAGCCCTGGCAGAACCCAAACTGGGTGTCATTTGAGCAGGTGCTGCTTGACAGCATTGATGACACCTTCCATCACTTTACTGATTTTTGGGAGTAGACTGATGGGGCAATAACTGGTCAGGTTGGCTTTGTGTACAGGACATACTTGAGCAATTTTCCTCATTGCTGGATAGATACCAGTGTTGTAGCTGTACTGGAATGGCTTGATTAGGGTAGCAGCAAGTCTTCAGTACTATTGCCAGAATGACATCAGGGCCCATAGCCCTTATAGTATCCAGTATCGTCAAGTGTTTGATATCACAGAATTCAGCCAATTCAATTCACTCCATGTGTTTGTTGATTGCATTATGGGTTTAGAACCATGCCTCTAGGAATTCCCATGCATGTCTATGTTTGGCTTGGGCTACTATGGTTACATTGTCCCAGTTAAACTGATGGCCTTCATTGTCCAAGTGTACTAACATTAAGGGAAACAAGCCAGCTCAGCGAGCAAATCAGCAACGTCACCCACAACCCAAGCTACAAGTCTTGGCTAAAACATGATCAGACTATTATTTGGCAAATCTGCCACAAACACTTCCAAATCTACTACAACTTTCCAGTTGGCTGATCAGCTAGTTTGCAATACAGTGATACCAGCAGCACAGTTTCAACTCTGACATCAACCGAGGTTATGAATGGCCCCTCCTCAACTTCATCCCTTGCCAGAGGTGTGACGACCCTCAAGTTGAGCCACCACTAGTTGTCTGGGACTAAGGTGACTTACTGTTACAGCTCCCTCTAAGTTGTTTACTTGCAAATCCTCAACTAGATCTCTGGCAACACTAATAGCCACTACCTTTATCCTTAGAAGCCTCCTGTCTCTCGACCAATTCAGTGAATACTGTGAACATGCTTATGTAGCTAAAAGTTCATACTTTCTTAGTTTTAGCCTTCTTTTCTTCATCTTCCTCTTCAACTGCTGCCTCATCATCGGTTTCTTCTTTTTCCTTTGTTTCTTCCTCATCCATTGGTTCTTCTACAGTTTCTGTCTATTAAGAGAAGCTTAGATTAAAATTTAGAAATTAGATGAGTTTACTGTCCACAAGGAGATTTGCATCTGAATTACCTTGCTGCTCCAGATATAGATGGGGAAGTTGATGAATTGAGAATATTTCTTTACAAGATTTTTGATGGTGTCCAGTTCAAGGTAGTCAGATGCCTCTTCCTTCAAGACTAATCTAAAAAACAGTCCAAGACATGAAATTAGACAATTCCAAACAATTTAGTAATTCAACAATCAATGCTTTATAGCAGTAAGTTGTACAAATTTATTATGATAGCTGTATTAGGCAGCAATAATAACTGCATTGCCAGCCAGCTAATATTTTGATCATTCTAGAGCAAGGAATTCTGTTTCCAAGCCCTATTTGAGGGATGACTGGAAGAATCTGAATTCATAACTTACGAAATAGTAGTACCACGTCCCAACGTATTTCCTCGTGGGTCCTCTATGATAGAGAATTCATTGGAGTCAGATTCCCAGATATGCTGTGTACCATTGTTGTGCTTTGATGTTACAATAACCTTATCTGCCACCAAGAAAGCGGAGTAGAATCCAACTCCAAACTGGCCAATTAACTCAGAGGCAGATTGATCATCACTTTGCACCTCTGTCAGCTTATTTAAGAATTCACTTGTTCCAGACTTTGCAATTGTCCCAAGGTTTTTAATCAGCTCATCCTTGGTCATTCCAATGCCTGTATCCATGACATGCAACATGTTCTTCTCTTTGTCAGCCTAGGGAGAAATAGTGTAAATTTTCCAGTGTACTTTATTTACATTGATAAATGTAATTTCTGAATGCTAGTGATGGACTAAATTTGCAACATTCAGAATTTAAAAGAATCACCCCTGTTCTAATCAGCTGTACACTCCCCATTGGGAGTCAAGCGCATTACTTGAAGCTTGTTCTGAATTGTACTGCATGTAAACACAAAATGCATGCTTTCTTAAAAAGAAAGTTAATGATTCAGTAGTTGACAATAAATTTAGGCTTTGTAGGCATGTATCAACTATTTTATGGATGCTCAGAAAATACAGCTTTGTGCCAAGGCAAAAAAGTTCCAAAAATCTGTACAATTGAAGAATGTGCAAGTAATGTGGAGGCGCTGCAGGTATCCACACTAAAATGTTAGAAAGACATATCAAACAATCTGAGGTCCCTAGATACAAGGATCATCCCTCTGGTTTGGAAAATCAGGGGATTTACAGCCCATTTGGCCTAACATTAGTTGTGGGGAAATTGGAGTCTATAATCAAGGATGGAGTAGCTGAACACTGAATTTTCAGTTAATCAGGGATAGCCAGTATGCATTCATGACAGGGAGGTCATGCCTGACAAACCTCATTAATATTTTTAAAGAGGTGACTAAAGGCAGTGGACATTGGAATATCTATGGATATTGTTTATATGGACTTAAAGGCATTTGATGAAGTCCCATTAAAAAGGATTTTTAATTAAAGTGAGAAGCATACACATGAAGGGCAAATTACTCATTGCTGGTAAACCAGTTGAGTAGCCAGCCACAGAAAGGAACAATGGGTAGGTACTGAAATTGGCAGGATGTGACCAGCGGAGTCCCACAAGTGTTAAGTGCCTCAAGTATTCAAGTATTAACAACTTGGATAATGGCACAGAAAGTCATATATCCAGATTTGCTGATATTGTAGACAGTGTAGATTATAACATAAAATTACAAAGTGATTTTTGTACAGCAAGTGAATGGGCAAAACTGTGGCAGAGAGAGTTCAAAGCAGGCAAGAGAGAAGTTATCCATCTTGGACTAAAAAAGATAGACCAGGGTACTTTCATACCATGAAGAAAGTAAGGAGTTTGACATGGTTTACAGGAGTGAAACCTGGATTGCAGGGGTTAAATTACAAGAAGAGATTATACAAATTAGGCCTGTTTGCACTAAAATTTAGAAAAGTTGAGGTAATCTGATCAAGGTATTAAACTATTTCTACTGGTTGGGTATTCTAGAACCACGGGCATTGTCTGAGAATTGGTGGCAGACTGTTCAGCCGAGATGTTAGGAAACACTTGTACACAAAGAATGGCAGATGTTTGTAACTCATACAAACAGCAGTTGATGCTAGATCAATTGTTAGTATTCAATCTGAAATAGACAAGTTTAAGCAAAATATTATAGGAAAGTGGGCCAGAGGCAGATATATAATTAGGCCACAGATTAGCACTGGAACAGGGTTGAGGCACTGAATGAACTACTCCTGTTCCTAGACAGCTCCCCATAAGATTATAGCTTGTGCTAAACTAATATCGCAAATACAGACCAAATGCTGTCACTGGTCCTTGAGCTGATCAAAGTCTTTGTTACAACAATCTCAATTAATCCAGCACTATTTATTGCGTCAAGTTTAACAAAAGAAATTTAACCTTTATCTTGATGGTCATCTCTTCTGTGGCATGTAGTGCAGTATCATTTGTGAGGGATATCAACCGGATCTTGTCCAGAGCATCGGAAGCATTAGAAATCAGTTCACGGAGAAATATCTGACAACAGCAAACATTAAGTTAAGACCTCACAGTCAAATATAGTTATCATAAAATATACAGGACTGTATTTGAGATTCACTGATATCTAGCTTTGACATCTGTAAAACATCAGTATTCCTAACTATTGGAGTAGATCAGAACACCACAACCATTAACAAGAAAGAATAACCACAGATTCATTGTTGACATCAAATAAATGTATTTAAAAGAGATACTAGTTCTGTTAGTCTTTGCCTCAACCCCAGAACACAGTATGGAATGATTATGCAGTGAATAGGAAAAGTTAAATGTTACTAAACACCCAGCTTTCAGGTTCAGCATACTTTACCACTGCAAGAGTACCAAATTTAGAATCCCACATGGTCACAGGGTAGCAATCCTAAAGGTATGCATATTGAAAAAAATTCAGGAATATGTAAAAAAAGCTTACCTCTTTATTTTTATACAGTGAATTAATGATCAGCTTCATCATTCTGTTAACTTCTGCTTGGAACATGAATTTTTCAGCCTTTTCCCTGATTTCTTTAACTTGAGCAGGATTCAGTCCATCCAATTGGATAGCTTCTTCCTCCCTACCAAGGGGAATGGAATGTGTTAGATTCATTACTTTGACATCAATAAAGTCAATACTTCAAGGAAGATTCTTTCCTGTTAAAATTTGTGTAGGGAGTTGTAATATTTACAGAACTCAATGCTAAGCTCTTTAAAACCAAATACTGTTTAAATTGTATAAAACATTGGTTAGGTCATAGCTGGAGTGTTGCGTGCAGTTCCACAATCCACACCATCAGGAGGATGCAAAAGCACTGGAGAGGCTGCAGAGGAGATTTATCAGCATGTTGCCCAGGCTGGCAAGTTTCAGTTATGGAGAGATGGGTCAGACTGAATCCTTACAGGAGAGGAGATCGAGAGGGAACATGATTGAGATGCATAAAATTGAGGGGCATAGATAAGGTAGACAGGGGAAACTTTTCCCCTCAGAAGGAAAAGTGAGCAGAGGGCATGATTTAGGAGCTAAGTGCCAGTGAGGGCAAGAACAGGAGGGCATGGCAGATGAACAAGTGGCTGAAGAATTGCTGTGGGGCAGGGATTCTGATTCCTGGATCATTGGGATCTTTTGTGGGGCAGAGGTGACCTGTTCAAGAAGGATAGGTTGCACCCGAAATGGTGAGACCCATATCTTGGCAGGCAGATTTGCTATTGCTGCAAGGGAAGGTTTAAACTAGATTGGCAGGGGGGTGGGATCCTTAACTGCATGGAGGCAAGTGCAAGGCTGGAAGGAGATATAGTAATCAGAAATAGCAAGTTGAAGAGACGTCAGGCTAGAATACAACTGGGAGCGAGGAATGCCTGTTGGATTAAACTGCATCTATTTCAAATGTAAGAGGGCTGACAGGTAAGGCTGATGAACTCAGTGTGGATAGCTACATAGGACTGGGATATCATAGCCATGTTTTTGTAATGGCCAAGGGAGGTAGAAGGCTGGCAGCTTAATGTGCCAGGGTACAGGTGCTTAGGCAGAACAGAGATGGAGGAAAAGAGGGGAGGGGGGACTCGCATTTTTGATTAAGGGGAGTATCACAGCAGTAATCAGAGAGGAAATAACTGAGGGATCATCTAATGAGGCTTTGTGGGTGGAGCTAAGAAATAAGGGAATGATATCTTTTAAAGGTTGACTATTTGGGGACCCATGAAATAATGAGAATTAGAGGAACAAATACACAGGAGCAATAGATTGTTCAGTGCGGAATTTTAGTTTTCCAACACTATAACAGGCCCAGTCTGTGTAAAGGGCATAGATTGGGTAGAATTTGTTAAGTGTGTTCAGGAAAGTTTCCTCAAGCAGTGTATTGAGTGTCCTACTTGGGAAGGGGCAAAACTTGATCTACTCCTGGGAAATAGGGCAGGACAGGTGCCTGGGGCAACAGTGGGGGAGCACTTTGGGACCAGTGACCACAGTTCTACTAATTTTAGAATAGTTCTGGAGAACAAAACTGGTCAACAAGTTCAAATTCTAAATTGGGTCAAGGGGAAGCTTGATGGAATTAAGAACTTGCAGGGGTTAATTGGAGTAGTTTGTTTGCAGGCAAAGTGACCTCTGGCAAGTGGGAGGCCTTTAAAAGTGTGATAGCTCGAGTTCAAGGTCTCTATGATTGTGAGGGTGAAGGGAAAGGTTGACAGGAGTAGGGAACCCTGGATGACAAGATATTGAGGCTTTGACCAGAAAAAAGGAGGCATGGCTCAGGCACAGGCAGCAGGGATCAAGGGAATCCCTGAAGATATATTGGGGATACAGGGATTTATTGAAGACAATTAGGAGGGCAAAAAGGGGGCATAATAGCACTTTGGCTGAGAAGATTAGCGTGAACCCAATGAGATTCTAAGTATATTAAAAGGGAAAAGAATAACTAGAGACAGAATAGGACCCCTCAAGAGCCAAAGTTGGCATGCATGTGTGGAACCGCAGGAGATGGGCAACGATTATTCTCCTCTGCTTACCATGGAGAAAGACTTGGGAAGTTAGTGGTGATATCTTGTGGACAGTCCATATTATAGTAGAGGTGGTATTTGCAAGTATTAGAATGTATAAAGGCTAATAAACCTCATGGTCCTGACCAGATATAACCACAAACCCTCCAAGAGGTAGAAGAAATTGTGGGGGCCCTGGCAGATATATTTGCACCATTGTCAGCCATGGGTAAGGGCTCAGAAGACTGCAGGGTAGCAAATGTTGTGCTCTTATTCAAGGAGAGCTGCAAAGAAAACAACTTGAGAATTATTGACAAGTAAGCCTGTGGTGGGCAAGTTACTCAAGAAGATTGAGGGATAAGATATACATGCATTTGGAAAGACAGGGTTTGATTAGTAGTCAGCATGGATTTATGCATGAGAGATCATGCCTATCAAATTTAGCAGTTCTTTGATGAAGTGACCATGAAGGTTGACGAGGGCAGGGTGGTAGATGTAGTCTATATGAGTTTCAGTAAGGCCTTCGAGGTTCCACATGGTAGGCTGCTTTAGAAGATTAGATCACACAGAATCCAGGAAGAGCTGATAAATTGGATACACAATTGGCTTGATGGTAGGAAGCAGACAGTAAGTGGCAGGATGCTTGTCAGACTGGAGACCTGTGACTAGTGGTGTGCCTCAGGGATCAGTGCTGGGCCCATTATCATTCATGTCATTATTATAGATAAAAACTGCAATGTCAAGACATGATTAGCAAGTTTACGGATGACACTAAAATAGGCAGTATCATGGACAGTGAGAATGGTTATGGGGCAGGATCTTGATCAGCTAGGGAAGTGGACCAAGAAATGGCAAATGGAGTTTAAAATAGATAAAGCGACGTGTTGCATCTTGGAAAGTCAAATCAAGGTAGGAGTTTCACGGCAAATGGTAGGGCCTTAAGGAGTGCAGTGGAACAGACAGACCTTGGAGTGCAGGTGGCTCCACTTTCAGAAAAGTGTGCACAGGTGGACAGGGCAATGAGACAATTTTTCACACACCAGCCTTCTTCAGTCAGGGCATATGAGTGCCTAAGTTAGGAAGTTATGCTGCAGTTGTACAGGACATTGGTGAGACTGCACTGGAGTAGTGTTCAGTTTTGGTCACCTTGCTATAGGAAGGATGTTATTAAAACTGGAAAGAACACAGGAGAAATTTGAAAGGATGTTGCCAGGACTCAAGGGAACGAACTATAGGAGAGGCTGGATAAGCCAAGACATTTTTCTTTACAGCATAGGTGACTGAGGGGGGAAATTGTGTATGAAAGTGTATGAGATCATGAGATGCATGACAAGGGTGAATGCACTCAGTCTTTTCCCCGGGGTTGGGGAATCAAGGACTAGAGGGCATCAGTTTAAGGTAAGAGGGGCAACTTTTTAAAAAAAAAACCTCAGTGTGGTATGCATATGGAATGAGTTGTCAGCAGAAGTAATTGAGGCAGATATATTAACAACATTTAAAAGGCATTTGGACAAATACATGAATAGGAAAGGTTTAGATGCACATGGGCCAAGTGCAGGGAAATGGGGTTAGTGTGGATGGACCAGTTTGGGCCAAAGGACCTGTCTCTGTGCTGTAGGACTGGGATGAGGGGAAAAGTCTTTACAGGCAGAGGGTGGTGGGAATCTGAAACTCACTAAGTGCGGTAGAGGCAGAAATCCTCATGTTATGTATATGTGCACTTGTGACACCAAGGCATACAAGGCTATGGGGCAAGAAAATTGGATTAACAATTAGGTGGCTGTTTTTGACTGGTGTGGATACAATGGGCCAAAGGGCCTTTTTCTGCATTGTAGATCTCCGTAACTCTAATTGGGGTGCAAGTAGATTACTTCTTACTTAGCTCATAGCTAATCTGGAGTCACATGATAAAAAGTCAAGCTATTGCAAAAAAGTGTAGTCCATACTGTGTTATTAACATGCTTGTCAAGGTTATAAAGCCCTGGCCCAGCTCCAAGGTCAACTTCACTAAAAACCTGAAAATGGAACATGCATAAACTAGTGGAAATAAGCCAAGTGGCAATATCAAATACAAGATGGAATAATTCTAGATTTAAAAAGACAGCTTGTAATGTCATATTGCTCTTGATGCCAGAGAACAAAAAAGGCATACCATGATTTTAATATGGTTAGTGAAACCTTTCCATTCAAATTACTGTGACACAAAATAATCTCAACATTACAGTACTGTGTATTGCTAAAGATTCCAATATTTCTAAGTCTATCTAGAACATCAACATAATCCACAGTACATCTTCAATTTTCGCACCATTGAATGGTGCGCCAGTAGGAGCCTCAGTCTAAGAATGGTCACGTTGCTTTCTATTCTTTGAAAGAGTGAACCAGTTGAGACTTCACAACAATCCTGCAGCTCTCCTGGCCATTTTCTGACTTTCAATATCTAAAATTCAATACAAGCTTTATGAATGGCTGTTCAAGGACTCGTTCAATCTCAAGTACAGTAGAGAAAAACTGAACATGCACAGAGGGCAGCACCTTTTAACAACTTCATCGTCGGTCCGTGATCCGTCTCTGCTTTTCCCGAGATCTTCCTCGACCGTTTCATCTTCAGCTCTAACGTGAGCTGGGGAAAAAGCAAAAAAAAAGTCGGCCGTTCGTAAGCAGTATGTTTGGACGAACCCGGGTGTGCCTTACTCCAAAGGAGACAACCGCCCAACGCACTGATGGAGCCGGCCGAGCCCCCAAAAAGGAAGCACAGGGCCAGAACTTGACGGCGCAGTCCGACAAAGATAGCTCCGGAAAGAGAGAGGGGAGAACAATCTCCTCCTAGAGAGCTCGTTTCAGCCCCAACAAGCAAGGGCCGTCCGAGGGAGGGAAAGAAAGAAGCGAAAAAAGGGAGAGGAGCAACACAGAGTATGGGACTGACGGGGAAAGATGAGAGCGGGGCAGCGAGGAGGCGTGCGTGGGGATTGGGGAACAGTGAGAGGGATGGGATGGGAAGGGAAGGAATAAGGATAAGGACGAAGACGGGAGGGATGGTGGTATTGAGGGAGGGCGTCCGTAGGAGAAGTTATATTGAGAATAGTCACTGAGGGGATAGCATAGAGTGAGTGAAGGAGGTGGTGGTTGGTATTGAGGGAGTTAGAAACCTTGGTAATGGTAATTGAGGGAGGGCGGCCAGCCAGTGAGGGAAGAGCGGTGCGGGTTTGCGGGGGGGGTTAGATTAGTGGAGGAAATCGGTGCAGATGTGCGTTTTACTGCCCGTTAACTTTACATCCCGCGTGCGCGCACAGCCTCTTCCCTTCTCGTCGCGACCATGTCCCCGTCTCAATTCAAGTCGAGAAAGGATCCGAGGTGGTGGTGGTTGTCGAATCCCGAGTTAGGGCCCGGGTCAACAGCCCGGCATGGGGGCGCGGAGGGGCAGTGAGGAAGATTCTAGAAACCAGCCGCTCGCACCCTTTCCACACTTACCGAACGCCAGGAGCGCGCACACTAGCGCGAGAATCCAGGCCTGTCTCATCCTTACGTACGAGCTCCAAACTTCTTCTTCGTATTAATAGTTTTTTTTCCCTTTCCCCGACCCAGCCGCCGGTACAGGACCGTTAAACTTCAATCCACCTCACGCCAACCGCTCCACGCCGCGGTTTCTTCAATAAAACACAGGCGAATGGGCAGGGGATACAGGGAAAACGGGCGGGCGGACGGGGCGGGGCCGTCTGCAACCAATCGCGACCCCCCACGCAAAACGCGGCCGGCCAATCGGAACCGTCCTCCGGCAGCTCTCCGCCAATCGCCGCCTTCCATGTACCATCGCCTACGTCGAGAGCGTGGCTCGCCCCGATTGGCCGAGACGTCCCCGGAGGTCACGTGGGAGTACTCCCGCTACGCTGTTCGCTGGACCGCGATCTGGTTGGTTTCCCGAGAGGGCTGGGGGAAGAAGGGTTATGGTAATAGCGACTCTGATTGCCATCCTTTATCCTTTCATAATATATAAAAAAAAATTCGTCGGGGGTGTGGAAAGGGCTGCCTGCGATTTGCTTCCGGGGTTAACCGCCTTCTCCTCCCGTTTACCTTGGCGACGGGGACTTGGAGACGGTTTCCATGGAAACGGGGGAGCTTCCGGACGCCGCAGCAACACCTTGTCCGCGGTGAGATTTGGTTTTCTCTATATTTGCGAAAATACTGAGTGCGTCACACAAATTTGCCGACACTGGTGGAATTTCAAAAGTACATTTAAACGGCTTAGCCCGTAGTTTTTTTTCAGTGGAATTTTCTTTCATTCATTCATGGGGCATGTAGACATCAGCATTTATTGCCCAGAGGGCTGTTAAGAGTCAACGACATTGTGGTGGCTCCAGAGTCTCATGCAGGCCAGTAAGAAGACCTTCCCTGAAGGACATTCTAAAATTTAACTCTGTTTTCTCTCCACAGATGCTGCCAGACTTGTTGAGTTTCTCCAGCGATTTCTGTTTTAGTTAGCAAAAGTTGTAATCTGCCTGGCATATATGTGTATTGTTCGAGAGTTAACTATCGGTCAGGACACCAGGGATAAGTCCCTTGTTCATCTTTGAAATAGATTTTTGCCAATGGATCTTTTATCCCCATCCAAGAGGGGCAGATAAAGCCTCAGTTTAATGTCCCATCCAGAAGACAGTGACACTGGCAGTCCAACGCATTCTCACCACTTCACTGATATAACAAGGTGTAGAGCTGGATGAACACAGCAGGCCAAGCAGCATCAGAGGAGCAGGAAAGCTGATGTTTCGGGTCGAGACCCTTCTTGAAAATGAAGAAGAGTCTTGACCCAAAACGTCAGCTTTCCTG